GACGAAATGTTAATAATTTCCTTGCTAAGTGAATTGCCATAATTGAATGTATAATAAATAACGATATATTAAAAAGTAGAAGAATGATATATAAGAGAATTTTATTTTTTAAATAAATTATGTAGTAAAAATAAAAAAATAAAAATATTTAATAATAATAGTAATAATATTAAGGTCGTCATTATCTAAACAGAATTTCAAGAGTTTCATACAAACATTTGCTCCTAAAAAAAAACTTCTAATTAATTAATTATAGAATCTCTTTCAGTATTTTCAACATCAAATTTATTTCTCACATAAAACCCCACTTCAACTTAAATATATCCATTCATTTGTTTACCTAATCGCGCACTTGTGCTTTTCAAATTTTCAAATTCCTATTGAGTTTGAGAAATCTTGGGAAATCCATAATATTGAACAGCAAGAGACCCAAAGACACAGCCAAGTGCTGTACAAATTCGTTGGCTGTGGCAATGCGAGCCAAAGACGACAATCGCGTCATGGATTGCAGGCGAGTATCTCGCTCCACTTAAATGCCGAAAGATCTCTGACAATTGAACAAATTGCAAATGCCATTGTTATTGTTGCTGTTGTTGTTGTTGTTGTTTTTACATACCCGAATGCCTACAGTTATAATTGCATAAGTGCGTCGTCTCCCCACACACACACAGACACAGACGACTTCAGTGCGACATAGATTGCGATCTGACATGGCTTGGGAATAGTTGTGGGAGCAGATCTTTGTCGTTGCTCTCGAGACACACTCCAGCTGGGGCGAGTGAGTAAAGACGGCGAGGCAGCGGCTTATGCAACTTGGCAAGTAACTTCTTCCGCCTTTGCTCAACAGACCTCCCAAAAAGAAAACAAACTCAACTGACCTTAGCTAATTAAATGGCCAGTGAATCTAGCTGGGGTTCTTTTTTTACTTGATTCCCTGCTTTTCACTTGTGCCACTGGCACTGGCCAAACAGAGCATTGACAATTAGCCAGCCCCAGGCGTAAAAGCCAAGAAGAGAAAAGGTCAAACATCAAAAATGAGGCCAACAGTGTTTGACCATGCACCCATGGGAAACCTTTTGACCAAATCACTCATGTTGCCTGCAGGTGGAATGTAAAGAGTTTTCATTTCTTTTTTTGGAAGAATCTGTTTATGAGGGGAGCTGAGAAATGTTATAGATATAAATGGAAATCTATCG